AGTTAATTGTTAGCAACTGATTTTCAGACCGGGTAAACATTTCACCCCCTCAAATGAGATGTGTGGCTACCAAGCTGTTTTTTGGTGGAGTTCACGATGGTGATAAAACTCAAAACTCCAGCCATCTCACCCAAACACTTGAGGTTGGGGATCGAACCATTGAGTCACAAAAGCCGATTCGCTCATTTAACAACTGAATTATTAATCACTGCACCTTCATTCATTTTGCGGCTCATTTAAGCATATTCTTTTCTTTTCTAATCTTAGATAGATGAGGACTTGAAAAAGAAAAATCTTAGACTAATGTTTTGTTGTTTTTAATTGTACTATGAATGGAATTTTTTTTTTTTTTTTTGGTTTTATCTATTAATCCAAGACATATATTCAGTGCATCCACATGACCAGATCATTCTACTGCGTTACAAATTAAAGTGCCAATATAAGTCAGGGGCATACAAGAAACTGCTTTTATGTATAAAATGCACTGCACAGATTTGAGAAAATTCTGTTTCAGTTTTGCATCATCTTCGCACGTGTATGACTAAATTCAATTATTTGCCTCAATTAAAGCTGTATGTTCACTCTTCTCTAGACTTCCACTTAACTCATTTTCTATTTTTATAAACAAAAGAAAGTTATGTGGTATACACAGTTTTAAACTACATAATAATCTTAATATTAAATAAAAATAAATTTTTTAATATTATAAGTTATTTTTTATTTAATAATCTCAATTTTACAATTCATTATTAAAAAAAAAACTCTTTTATAAAGGCACTTAGCTTTAACAAAAAAAAGAAAAGGACTTCGTTCATGCCTAAATGAATTTGAGAAAATTTGTGGGTCAAATTTCGTCACCTTGGGCCGCGTTAGTGCAGACAACGTTGTACTCAAGTCATTAATTCTTAACCTTTAAAAAAAAAAAAAAAAAAAGACTTACCCAATCAAATACCCAGTGAAATTTTTTTTTGCGTTAATTTTTTGATATCTGATAAATGCATTAAATTTTGGTTAATACAAAATGAAATCGCGTTAGCCTCGATCCTGTGAAGGGAATTGAAAGTGTATTTGCTTTACCTGTTCATATTTGGCGGATCACCCGATCAATTAATCATTATTTTTTACACCAATAAGAGGCTAAGTAGCCTTCTTCTTCTT